TGTTACTTATATCATAGTTTATGATGTCTTTATATAATACTTTCTATTTGTCTTTTCCAGGTCTCAATCTGCAGAGCCAGTTTAATCTGGAAAATATAACAGTGTTCAACAAAAATGAACAAGAAAGCACTCTCGGCCTGAAGGTAAAGTGTTGAAGCCTCATAATGACTGTTCAAATGTTCTATTTTATGTGAAAATTGTGTTTAAACTGATTTAGTTTTTTTCCATGTTTATAGCACACAGAGGAAAAGGAAGATGGCATGGAGGTGGAGGAAGGAGAGATGGGAGAGGATGATGCTCCTGCACCATGGTAAGCGAAAATGCTCTTTAATACGCAATAACACAACATGTATTTAAATGACATGGCTTGTGTCTGTTTCTAGGTTTAGACCGTAACCCTATTGTTCCTTTCAGCTCCATTCCTATTGACTACAACTTGTACAGAAAGTTCTGGACCCTGCAGGACTACTTCAGAAACCCTGTGCAGTGTTACGATAAATTCTCCTGGATGACATTCCTTAAGGTAATTCAATTTGCCTTCCTTGCTCTCCGTTTTTAAAGCTTAGAAGCAATGACTCACTTCCGATGTAAATGGCTTTTTGTCCCGCACAGTTCTCCGAAGAGACATTGGCCGTGTTCAAGAGCTTTAAGTTGGATGACATGCAGGCCTCCAAGAGAAAGCTGGAGGAGCTGAGGGCATCTGGAGAAGACGTCTATTTCGCCAAGTTTCTAACCAATGAGAAGGTGAGGAAAAAAAGCTTTTATGCCCAGAAGTAATTGTTATGATCCCTTAACCGTGCTTAAGATCATACAAAAGGTATCCCAAAGTTAGGCATTTCTTTCTAAAGGCAGTGAACACTTGATACAAGGGTTTATTTGGACAGATTCACAGCCGGGGATTCTATTTCCAGTTCCATCACGCCTCTACCCACTTGATGTTCCACTGGTCTGGTCTCATCACACGGCATTAGGCTGTCAAGATGTTGCCATAACAACCTGGGATTGCAGATTCAGACTTTTCACCATCTTCTTCACATTCTTAATGAATTCACAGGAAGAGGAGCGCACAGGAGACAACCGTTTCATTGCTGACTGTTATGTTTATGTGGGGAAATGGCAGTGCATACATTATTTGAGATATATTTCAAACTCAGACTTCATTTTAAGGACATGTCGGCCAGGGGTGTAGAGCTATTTATTTTATTAGCCTTTCTTTTTAATGACTGATTTTAAATGCTATTTTCTTAATGTCTTTCATTTTTTGTAAAGCACTTTGAATTGCCTTGTGTTGAAAAGCGCTATATAAATAAACTTGCCTTGCCTTTGTTTAAGCACCGGATTGGCAAAACAGCAGAGTAAACCAGTCTGCCTTGATCTATGTATTCATGTCTGTGACTCTCACGGTATCTGCTGCCCGCAGCTGTTTATAGAAGGAAAACCTCCTTCACTTCATGAAATGGCTGCAGGCAGCATCAGGAGGCAGCGGGGCGTATACTGCGCCTCTGAGAAGTGCAGCACCAGCGCGCCGAGAGCTGCCTTTTTACGCACCGCCTTCGCTGTGTTTACCTTCATCAGAACAGCTTAAGAGTGACTGCAGGCTGCTACGTGTTAACCACACACACCTCTACACACATCGAACTGCCCGATTACTCCCCCTTTTATTAGTTTTATGAAGGAGATGTCCGGTCACCAAGGCGCATGATGTGTGTGTATGTGCTCAGCTCTGTGTGTTTGTGTCTGTCCGACACCGGCATTTGTTTTCAAATGACCATGAATAGTAATTTACACACATCTGGCTAACTCCATAGGTAGCCTATATGCGGGTGTTCCCATAATAAGTTGCTAAATGCTATCGGAGTGCACCGGAACGAACGTCACTATCATAATATCTTCTGAAAACAAATGCCAGTGACACACACACACACACACACACACACACACACACACACACACACCCACCCTGGCGACCGGACATCTCCTTCATAATGCGCCTTCTCCTCGTTTTCCCAGCATTCACTGGATTATCCGTAAATCATACAAACAAAACCAAAACGTTGATTTATCTGTTTTCCCGTTTTGGTTTAAAAACTGAATAACGCGGTTTTTTGGTTTTCCGAAAAACCAAAAACGACAGGTTCTTTTTTAAACATTAATATGTGTTGGATGCATATTGTTCTCGTATTTGTTCAGGCTGTTACAATTAGCCTCTGTTGCTACCGGCTGCTGGTGACTGAATATTAAAATCAGTTAAAATTGAGAACCGGTCCGCGATTTATTTTTTTAATGTATCTGCCGGTCCTTGGCACAATAAAGGTTGGGAACCCCTGAATTAGTGTATATGTTATTACTTTGTTCTGTAGGAAGGTGACTTCACAATGTGTCCATACCATGTCAAACAGAAAGGTTATGTAGTATATATCACTGGTTGCCTTCGACTTGAATATGTTAATTTGTGGTAATGTGATCTGTGTTGGACATGACCTCACTTTTCTGTTTCGCTCTTCCTCTCCAGCTGATGGACTTGCAGCTCAGCGACAGTAACTTCAGGCGGCACATCCTGCTGCAGTACCTCATCCTCTTCCAGTACCTGAAGGGTCAGGTCAAGTTCAAGAGGTAAAGCATGACTCTGCTCGGACCTTAAAAACAATAGATTCCACAAAAGTCATCATAGGATTCATAATGTGTTCTATCTTCATCTTATACAGCTCCAGCTGTGTTCTGCACGATGACCAGAGCGCGTGGATCGAGGAGACGACTAAACTGGTTTATCAGGTCAGTCCTAAATCACGCTGACAAACATTATTCTATCCAGCGATATCTAGCAAAACTGATAACTATGTTTCCATTTGGTAAGCTTCTGAGGTATAGTTTCATGGCGTCAAGAGAAAGGTATAGTGATCTGTGACTGTTGTCTTGCAGCTGCTGAAAGAGATCCCTCCTGATGGAGACAAGTTTGCCACCATGGTGGAGGTAAGCCATGCTTTTGGAAAACTATAATTCAATGTTAAATGAGGTTTGTTGTAAGAGTTCACGAGTGACGCTAGAAACGTTCTTCTTGACAGCATATCCTCAACACAGAGGAGAACTGGAATGGCTGGAAAAACGAGGGCTGCCCGAGCTTTGTGAAAGAAAGGTAGAGAAGATATTTATTTGAATGAGTAATGCCTTAATTCATCCATTATTACAACAACATATAGTGTTGTGTGAGCTTGGTGTCGGCTGGCATAATGACAGTTGGTTCCACTTCTCTTCAACAGGACAGTAGATGACAAACCCAAAAGACCCACGAGGAAAAGACAAGCCCCAGAGGACTTCCTCGGGAAAGGGCCGGACGCCAAAATATTTATGGGAAAGTACGTGATCTAATCCAGGAGTGGTGTAGTAGTTTTGTAATAGTATGCCTCAGTTTGAAACACTGTAATAAAATGCAGTAGGTCAGTATACATAACTCACACTCCTCTGTGTTTCGTTAGTGATGAGTTGACTCGGCTGTGGAACCTGCACCACGACAACATGGATGCCTGCAAGTCAGACAGCAGGTACATTGAGAAAACAAAACATTTCCCTTTCTGTAAATATTGAAAATATTTGTTTTTAAAAATCTGATTTCTTTCATTCAGGGAGTTCATGCCATCATTGGACGAATTCTTTACGGAGGCTATTGAACAGGCCGACCCTACTAACATGGTGGAGGATGAGTATAAGTACGTTTGCGCTGTGGCGTGTTTTATCAGACATTTTGAACGAGCCCTCCTCATTAAAACACCATTGCTGGCTCGATTCCCAGTTCACTCTGTGTGTGCGTTTGTGTGACTCTTCTGCTCGTCGCTGTCAATAATTACAGGGTCGTGAGGAACCCAAACTACGGCTGGCGCGCTCTGAGGCTGCTGTCCAGGAGAAGTCCTCACTTCTTTCAACCGACCAATCAGAAGTTCAAGAGCCTGGCAGACTACCTCGACAGCATGGTCAGCAAGCTGGCCAAAGAACTGCCGGTGAGGACTTCAGTTTCACTTTAGAAAGAAGACATTATGCTGCTCTCAAACTGATTGCAAAGGCTGATTCTGTTTTTTGATTGGATGCGAGCAGAAGGATATTCCCTCTGAAGAGATCAAGACAGGAGAAGAGGATGATGATGATAACGGAGACAACCTCCTCAAAGACAGCAATGACAGTGAGTTGGAAAACTATTCAAGTCTTTTTTAGGGTCCCACCCACAATGATACATTTTTATATATTCACACGCATGCATATCCTAACATGCATCTGCAACAACATTTCTCATTCCCTATCTTGACCTCCTATTGTGATGATTAAATCGCCTCCTATTCACTTATAAGCTCATTTCCACTCAATTTACAATCAACAGTCTATTTTTATCGTCCCTATTGTGTCTTTGTTCCAGGTCCGAGCATACAGAGCAAGATGGTGACCAACCAGCAGATGGATGACTTAGCAGCCAAACTGGGCGCAGAGTGGAAGGCTCTGGCGTCTCATCTGGAGATGAAGGCGGCGGAGATGCGAGAGATCGAGACCGATAGTGAAGATGTTGACATGCAGGCCAAGCTGCTGCTGGTGGCCTGGCAGGACCGAGAGGGAGCACAAGCTACAGTGGAGAGCCTGGTGGCAGCTCTGAACTCTGCAGGGTTCTCCCAGATCGCTGACTGCCTCAATGAGGCTTAAGCTTCTACGCTACTTAATCAGTACCTACATGATATCACCGCATCTTTTTTACAACAAAAACAGTTTTGTATGTAGTATAGGTTAAAGCGTACTGTTTTTTCACTGTGAATCCAATAAATGTTCTTTTTTTAATAACTCATTGTATGGTCATTCATTATTCTCACATAAAAGACCCTCACATTTTGGTATAACAGTTTATTTTCACCACCTATGAAAAGCAATCAGTCATAACTTATTACAGAGTGTTTATGGTTTAAACATGTGGCGGGCTGTTTAGAAGAGCAGCCTCTTAAGAAGTCTGAAATCAGTGTCGAACAATGTTCAAGGCTGGTGGAGTAAACCATCACGGTTGAATCTCAAGTCTTTATTTAAACACACAGTTCAACACAAGGACAAACTGTTCAAAACCGGTTCCCCACACACTTCCCCCCCCAAAAAAGCATTAGTGAAGATTTGGCAGAAAGAAGCTCATCTGTCAATACATTTTAGAACAATTCCAGGAGATGATGTGAGCCAAGCACTTAAGAAAAGACCTGAGATTGAACCCAAGTTTCCCAGCAGGTCAACACGTCAAAACCTCCATAATACATCTGAGACGATACAAGCCAGAATGTCAGACAGCGGCTTGGCTAGGCATTTTCGTACACGTTGATTAAATGACTAAAGAGAAATATTTTGCTTTTATGATATGAGCACCTTAGCAAAGGCTTTAAAAAATATACAATGTGTATAAAACATTTAATGAAACTGCAGCGCTAGACGGAAAATCCTCTTTCAAGGATCCAGTCCAGAGATTGCCTCTCGTCAAATCTCAATTTTTAAAGCCCACTATAGTTGAATATTTAACACCTTTTGACAGAATTTGTTTTACAAGCATCTGTGTTGGTTACAAAAAACAAAAAAAATGAAGGTCATCAAATCTTTAAAGACACCAGTTTTATTGCACATCTATGCAGACAGTGCTTGGAAATGGCATTTTGTACTCGTTGTCTTGGAGGATGTCTTCCACAGCTACTGATCCTCTTGGAAGATTTCCAGCCTGCGGGGGCCGTACAGAAGAACGTACGCTATATGCCAGTCCCCCCCGCCGGACAGCCGCAGGATGTCCTCGGGGGTCACCAGGCTCACCTTGTCGTCGTCAAACTTCACCCACTCATCTGAGGCAGAGAGCACAGGAAACATTAAAGGTCCCCTATTACACAGTTTTTCATCAACATATTATAGGCCTCAGATATATACAAAACATGTCTCTGAACTGTTTGGCTCCAAACACCAAACAGATCGTGCATTGTAGCATCCCATAAACCCCTCTGTTTCAGCCCTGTTTCAAAAGGAGGAGGTGAGGGTGGGGGGAGGGTTACCTTGGTTGGTTATTGGCTAATGGTTACCAGTGTTGGGACTAACGCGTTACTGTAACGCCGTTATTTTTTGCAGTAACTAGTACTCTAACGCATTACTTTTTGTATTCAGTAACGCAGTTACCGTTACTATATGGCGCGTTACTCCGTTAGTTTTTTTATATAGTCAACAGCCAGGCGAACAGAGATGAGAACTGTACTTAAGTACAGTACTTGAGTAAATGTACTTAGATACTTCCTGTGTCACATGCGGAGACGGGCTGTGGGCGTGTTTGTGTTGTTTACTAACAAGACTATCATGGCGGCGGCGGAGCTCAAGTCTAGTTTCTCCACCTGGAGATATTCTCACTATTTCACTTTAGTCGAGCACAAAGAAAAGAACGTTTTAGTTAAATGTAAGTTGTGTCTTGGCGGGTCAAAGATCCTATCTACTGCCCAAACCAGTCGTTCAAATCTCTTAAAACATCTGCAAAAACAACATGCTGGGACGAAGCTAGTAGCTAAGACCACAGAGACTCAGCCGACGCCACTCCACCTCCACCTAAGCAACAGCGGCTGGATTTTAACCAAGGGACTGCTAGCCAGGGAAAAGTCGATAAAGCCATTGCACGGTATGTTGTAGAACACATGCAGGCTATTGCTACAGTGGAGTCACCCGCTTTCAGGGAGCTAGTTAGCATGATAGCATGTCCGGGCGGCACACGGCATATGGGACGGAAAACTTTTTCCAACTACCTGGAGAAAGAATATACAAAAATGGAAAGCCAGCTAATATCGATGCAATCCAGATTGCATATAATGCATGTCAAGTTGATCAACCGATTGTATTATTCTCCAATGCAATACCAGTACTGAAATGAAGGCTATAAGGGCATTAATGGGAGCCCTTTTTCTAAGTAACTAAAACGTTACTTTTCTCAGTAACGCATTACTTTTTGTGTAGGTAACTAGTAAAGTAACTGAGTTACTTTTGAAATGAAGTAACTAGTAATGGTAACTAGTTACTGGTTTTCAGTAACTAGCACAACACTGATGGTTACACAAGCCAAACAATCGTTATGACATCATCAAGTGGCCAAAATCTGATCAGCCCACTTTCAGACAGGTTTTTATATAAATGGATCAGAACAAAAAGTGAGAGAATCTTTTTTTCCTGAAACTTTCAGAATCTCTTTCCAGAGGGGACACATGTTGATGTAGAGAAGACGTGAAAAAGTGGATTTTGCATAATAGGTGACCTTTAAGTTCCTCAACATCTGCCTAGCTTCCTCTAGGCTTGTATGACTTGTGACTAATCTAAGTCACGTATGTATACTGAATGTGGTGCAGTGTGAAACAGCCCCGCTCACCTTCTTTCCTCTTGACCCAGCCCAGGTAGTGGCCTGAGGAGCTGGAGCGGCCCTGGTGTGTGAGCACAGCCTGCAGGTCGTAGTAGCCGCTGTTGTTGGAGCCCAGGTCTGCGGGAGAAACAGCAGCGTGTCACAACTCATCCAACCAATCATTGACACAAACAGACCTTAAATAAGCGACATTACAGATGGATAACAGAGTTTGATGCAACAAAATGTAGCAGGGATTTCAGCACTTTTAGAGATGTGACATTTCATTTTGGTAAATTCAAAGTTTTCAGTTAAGAATCACTATCTGCCTTTTTGACAACATATTTTTTGCTGATTCTTGGCAGCAATAGCAGATTTTTCAGACGGCTAAAAGCAATTTCTCTTTATGGTGTTAAAAAAGTGCCCGTTTACTTTTGATAGAGAAACCCATATTGATTAAGGGATTCTTATTCTTTAGCATCCCTGCCAGAACCTGGAATATAATATTAATAATACATGTTATTTATATAGTGCTTTTCATGGTGCTCAAAGCGCTTCATATATATGCTAATATATGCTAATATATGCTACCCTAGTCCTTGATGACACACACCTTTCCCCTTTATGCTGATATTGTCTATATAACATCATGGTAAGATTCCTTTGGGCATTTCACCCTTACGGCCCAAACACACGGCGGCGTGCGTTGCCGCTTCAACGCTTCTGCCCATTCACTTTGAATGGGGTGACGTCACGATTCGCCGAACTGCATTGTGGGAGCAAAGCGTAGCTTCCATCGCGGTGCTCGCTGCAAAAGTAGAGCAATGTTCTACTTTTGACGCCTCGACGGACGCGTCAGCCAATCGAATCATATGCCAGTACAAGCTCAAGCCAATCAAACCGCGTGCTTGTGTGTCTGGGGCGAGAGATTCATGTGATTGGTTGTTGGTCGAGTTTCAGCCCCCCCCGCCGGCAAGCGACAACGCCGTGTGTAGGGGCCGTTAGAGTGTAAAGACATACCATCAGGGAAGGAGAAGGGCTCATATTTCACTTTTTCTGCAACTCCATCCGGTTTCTTCACCACCTAATGTACAAAAGAAAATGGTGTGTAAATCTCCAGAACTGGCATTACAAGATATGATCATGTGGGAGCTTTCATGCTGCCAAGCTGAGCATTAAAGGAGGAGAGGATTAACCAAGAGAAGTTGCTATAGATGTGCTCTACCTGTTTCTGCGCATTCTCTAGCTTCTTGTCCTCGACCACCTTGAACTTTGACCTGATGGGCAGCATTTTCTCCTGGACCTCCGCGGTGCACAGCTCGTAGACATCCAACATGAGCGGGAACTTGACATCCTTCAATAAGACAACATGTTTCTTTCTTTAGACTTTGCATTCCATTCTAGTTAACAGTCCCTGTTCCAGATAAGTAAGTAATACTAATAGTGACGGCTCAATACGGACCTTAAGCACTTTAGCATTGACGGACTCCTTCTCTTTGTAGAAAAACCGCACCATTTGAACAGTCAAGTAGGCAGGGAGACGGCTGAGTTTCGACTAGGCGGAGAGGTAGGAAACATTTCAGAATGTAAACATACATTAACATCGAGTTTGTAGATAAAGAGTAGACATTACCACTTCTGTTAATGGCCAAGAAACGTAAAGGAAAAAGAAACACTTACAGATTTTATATACATGGCATTTCTTTCCAAGGATGGAGACATTTTTGTGATTTCTTCCTGCAGTCTCTGAAAAGAGAAAAAGGCAGAAAACTGAATTAAATCCTCTAGAAACAAAAATAATCACCCTCCAGTTGTCTTATGTATTTTTATTTAGTTATTTGACTGAACAGTTAGTAAGGTAGCCATGGTCGCATGACTTGCTAGACTCTTGAACAAAACGTTGTGCTCCCCTGTTTCGATGCATTTTAAAATGCGTAAAGCTGCCCGTTTCGTAACGTACCAGTCTTAGTCCTGTTGCAAGGTATTTGACTTCTTGGTTGATGAAGCAGCTGAGCTGGAGCTGGTTTTCCTTGCCTTTGATTGGCTCCTCGTCCTCAGCCTCTGTGCATTTCATACTGAACACGGGGGTTAAGAAAAAGCCAAGAGGAGTAGTGTCACAGCAGGGAGACATTTCTTGGGTCTTACTTTAACTATGACATTGCACATCACTGTTAATGACCAAACCTTCCAGTCAAACTATACCGAACAAGGACTAACATAAAAAAAAAGTGATCAACGGAGGCAGCTTCAAGGATACGAGGTTTCGAATTCTACGCCGAAGTACTGGTCAATGAGGTTCTTCTTTGTGGAGGCAGAGGCAGCTGCGCTCTCAGACTCGGTCTAAACGTTTAAAGACAAAAGTGGAACATGTTATTCAAATAACGCCTTCAGCGCACAGGGTAAAGAAAAAGAAATACTTTACCTCCATGGGAGTCTCGGGCTCTAGTGGCTCCAACTTCTGCTGAAGCACTCTCATCATCTGCAGCCAGCACTCGTTGGCATCCTGAGAGAACAAAACAAAGTTGATGCATAGAAAAATGCAGGTACAGGATTTGATGCATGGCTGAATGAATGAGTGATAGTTAGTGTGGTGACGTCTCTCACCTGCTGGAGGTACTGTCCCTGGTCCCCCTTCTCAGCGAACTGTGGAAAGGCCATGTGAAGGAACTGCAGCAAAATGATGGGTGGCAGGCTGGAGGAGGTCTTCTCCATGGTCTCATACAAGTCACGAAGGGCTGAGGGTGAAACAATAGGCAAGGCAAGTTTATTTATATAGCACTTTTCAACACAAGGCAATTCAAAGTGCTTTAAAAAAAATGAAAGACATTAAGAAAATGGCATTTAAAATCAGTCATTAAAAAGAAAAGCTAATAAAATAAACATTAAAAGAAAAAATACATGGATAAAAGTTACAGTGCAGTCTAAGATATGAATAGTTCAATTAAAAGCAGCGACAAAAAGAAAAGTCTTCAGCCTGGATTTAAAAGTAGTAAGAGTTGCAGCGGACCTGCAGGTTATAATAATAAGATATTAGCGTTAAAACCATTAGTTGCCATGATTTCACAGGGTTAAAAATGCACTATGCCTCATACCTGCCGTGATGTATTGGGATGGGGCACTTGCTCCTGAAGATCGCAGAGCACCTGCGTACCTACAGGGAGAGAGAAGGTTTCAGCAGGAGCCACAAAACAACCCCAACCCCAAGAGATAGGAAACGCCCGCTTTGAAGCATTCATTATATATGAAATGAGGCTCGACCCACCTCCTAAGTGCAGTTTTGAGCTCTGGCACAGAGCGCAGGCACTGCACTGTGGCATTCATGTAGCAGGTGTTGCCCAGGTTTGTCAGCCCACAGGGCAACTCCAACTGAAAATAACAAAGACGGATGAGTTCCTCTACATTGTTATGAATGTAAAATAAAATTTACAAAACATAAAAAACAAAAGGGATCTGTCTTCGGTTTGGTTTTAAACCAAAGCTGGCATCGTCACAGAAAATGTTTTCTGTGAACAAGCAGGACTTTGCTATGAGGAACTGAGCATTTCTTAACAAAGATGTGAATCTGATTTCCCAATATGTGCATATTAGTGTGTATTTAATATATAATTGTCTACTTAACATCACATGGGGTAAGCATGTTTAACTGGCAGGGTCGGTGCACAAAACACCAATCATTTTGAGGCTTACTCACCGCTGAGGCCAGCTGCTCCTCAGTCATGTCTTCTACAAACATGGGCCGGACAGCGGGCTCCTCAGGGAGGGCTTCTGCTGAGCCCATCATCAGGAGGGTCATTCCCTACAAAAAGTAGAAACACAGAAATAAATGACCTATTTGTTAAAAAAGCATTTAGTAGTATAGGTCTGTGAACTTAGAATTGCTTGTAATATGCAATGAAACAGATCCAAATACTCACATTTTTAAGTTTAATGTTTCCCCATTCATCATCCTAGAATAAAACGAAGCATTGGTTAGCTTATTAATAACCGTTAAAAGAATACATCTTTTACATTTCCCTGGTGTGAAAAAGAATGAATGAAAATAATTAAAACAATAACGTATCAGTATATCTTAATACTTTCCAACTTGGCTACTCTGTCCATGGCACACAGCCTTCTTCGCACAAGGTTTCCTTTAATGCTCAGTTTCTTGTGGCTGAGCATTATAGTGTTCAACAAACACAAATGGCAGTAAAGTTACTATTTTCACCCTATAATAAAAACACACATTTGATGTTCATGTGAACATTTACAATGGTAGGGATCGTCTGTGCTTTTTCAGAGTTTTGAAAAACAATGTGATGTCTAGAATACACTGGCTTAAAAGGATATACTTGTAAGTAGGATCAATTGTTGAATGTTTTTTATGGAATTTCTAAACAAGAAAAAAGTGGAATATTCCCTAATCCTTCAACAAAAGACAACCTGCAGCACACATTTTCTTCACATGCACCACAGGACCAGAGGACTGTTGTTGTTGTTGTTGTTGGTACCTTCAGAGTGCCTCCCTTCACCATGACCTTCTGTCTGTCGGGCTGAACTCCTGACAGGGCAAAGAGCTGAGCCTTGAAGACCATGGGAGGTTCCTCTGTGTTCAGCTCTACTGCATCAAACTTCTCTTTGCCCCATTTCACATTTACTAAACAAAAGACAAGGGATAGTACACAAGCATACGTTAGACTGTCAGTGTAAGTGTACTTCTGTATCTGCTGCCATGTATGACACAGCATCTAGTTAGCAACAGTAACGGTTAAACTGCTACATGGAACCAGATAGCAGCCCAACTGAGCTAAAAGCACAAAGTGAAAACATACATATAACGCCGCTTGGCTGACAGTCCACTTAAATAAAACTGTTGATCAGCCATTTTAGAAATCCAAATACGATTGATATCATGTTAAAATTGTAAACTCTAAACGCTTTGTTTGTCTCCAAGAAGCTGCAACTGCAGTGAAAGGTTTCTAAAGTGTACAATCATGATTCGGCTAGCTTGGTTAGCGAGGCTAGACGTGTTTTTGTACATTGTAAAATCCGTGATGTGAAATCAAAAGGCGGCGTCACAGTGCGTAAACATACGAGATTATATCTTAAGGTTGTGCCGAGATACAATGTCTTTAAATAACTTGTTAAACTACCTTACTTTACTGTTACCTGGCTAACATAGCTAGCATTAGCTGGCACTTAGCAACAGTAGCTGCTTTTTGGTTTGTCAGATGTCAGTTAGCAGTTCCGGCTAAACCAAACTCATACTGTAAACTCCACATACAAAGGGCGTTAGCAGCGTTACACCTTTGTATGTCCCCCTGTCTTTAAATACTTTATGAATAATAATAAAAACTCCAGTAGTGGCCTAACAAGATTGAAAGACTGCCTGCTAGCGTTAGCATGCTAACTGCATATCATGCTAACACTAGCTAAATTAGCATGCTAAATGTATTTACTGCACTAAAACACGTGTAAGAGTGCATGTGTATCCAGTATTTCCCAGTGGCAACGAATATGTTGTATTCATCCATTATCCTACCTGTATACACCGGCATATTTGGCAACCTTTTACTTCCTCAACCCTTTGTTTTTTCCTGTTTCGATCCACCGGGGCACGAATGAAGAGTTGGCTAGATCTCAGTCTGAACTTCATTCAAACAGAATGACGCTGCAACAACACGCCGGGAATTTATCGATGAGTGCTCTAATCTACTAGCAATCCTGCCGCTTGCAATGCTCCCAGACTACACACACCCAGATCAGTCAGGCATATTAATAACAGTCTTTATGGGAGGGCTGTTGTAAGTGAGGTTTGCTCAGTCCTAAATATTCCTAGCAGGTGATCCCCTGCATTATATAAAAACTCACCTGAGTTTGTTTATCCCTGTTATTGATGCTCCATGGATGGATGAATGGAGGGCACACATCGATTCATAACATTTCTGTGTAGTGTGTGGGTATATGTAGTGAAAACTACTATAATGAATGATAAAGATATGTTTATTGACATATCCATCAGTGCGGACTTCAATGCAATTAACCATGCAAATTATCCAAGACAAGAATAGATCATAGTTCCAGTGCTTTTTTTTTTAACTGAACACAAAGTTACAAATAAAAAGATTGCGGAGGTATTCCATAATCCTTATGTCTCTCTCATTATATACACTGTAGGGGGTTTGCATTAACGGGACATTACCGTGTTAGAGAAACAACATGTAATTGTTAACAAGGACAATCAATGACACGCTCGCTTTAGGTACACCATCCCGAAATTTGTCTTATGATATGAACTGATTCTAGGGACTCTGTTTTGACACGCCAACTCTATTGCAAAGTGTCCGTAAAGAGGAAATCTAATATATTTTATATATTCAAACCAGAGAAAATATGTTCCAATAAAACCACACGTGTGGCAATTTCTTAAAAAACTAAATGATGGAAGAGTTGAGATTTGTCTTGTTACGGAGGAAAAAAAGAAAAACAGATATGGCAGTAAAATCAATATCCAAACGTTAAGGCACTAGGTGGGCCAAATGCTACACCTGTTTAGTCTACAAATAATTTACAATTCAAACAGTGCAGTTTTACATTTGTTAACTTAATGTTTTCCTTTTGAACCATGTATCTATGAATCAATGTAAGGCAATACATTACAAAAAAAAACAATACGAGAAAAAATGACAATGTACCAAATAAACAGAAAAAATCAATGAAGTTTTAAGACTCCTATATGCCATTACAATGGAATATTCCTTATGGCTTGGAGCAATAAAAAATAATTATAATAATAAAAATAATGCATAGATTTAAATGATGATCTTGCATGCTCCTCACTCAATACTCAAAACATCTAATACTTTATGTCCCAATGTCCAAAACCTGATAAGTGACTTGCAGAGTGATACGAATAAAGGCAAAAAGGCCAGAGATATGACAAGAAGGCATCTGTCTTTTTTTGTTTGTTCCTGAAAACAGAAGTATGCTTGCATTAGCTTGAGAATATGTCGTGTGAAGGGGGAAACCAATTACAAAATAGATATTCATTTTCCACCCTTAAGACACAAGCACTCACTGAAGATCTGCAATCCCTGTATGACGGTACCTTAAACTGAACACATACTTGCAGGAGTCCCAGCAAAACCCCCATTAACCTTCCCATTTCCATTACAACTGTCATATAACATTAAACACAGTATGTCTCCATGACATGAGTCCCTCTATCGCTCCACTGTCCATCTTTATTTCAAGACGAGTGTGCCATCTTCTGGTAGAAATGGAGAGCTGCAAGTTTGTTGAGTTGACTGACGTCTCTTCTGTATGTGGAAAGGTGACGGAGGTGGGTATCAGGCCTCTTATTGTCCATGATGCCTTGCGTCTGACATGTGTTGCAATCTTCCAGCGCTGGATATTTATCGATATACATTTTATTTTTTAATGAATTTTCTATGTAATTCAGGAATCCCAGTTGTTTTCTTTTGAGGATGAGGAAGGAGGGAAAGTTTAGAGTCCAGAAAAAAATCCAAAGGGTTCAGATGGTTAGCTGAAACAAAACAAAAACAGAGACAGGTGTCCAGTAAAAGAGCGACATTATATTTGCCTTGGTTAGTATCCCAATCTAAGTCAACAAACACTGCAACACCGTTATCACCATTGCATCATGTTCAACAGGTAATGTAACAATCCTTAACGTGGATCATTCTCAGGAAGAGTTGTATAGTAAGTCTATGAGTTAGTTACTGAACCCGACAAAACATTAGTGCCAATTAGAAAAAAACCCAAGTGTCTACTGGAAAGAGCCCAGGAGTCAACCAAGCAAGCAAGCAACCAACCAGGAAGTGTCTCGTGTTAGAAACACCCAGTTACACAATTAATAAATAGACGGGTTTTAAAGCTGTAGAGAAAAATCTAAAAATCAACACTTTGTGAAGAAGTTCCTGTCAACAAGTGCTGGATGTTGTGTCTGCTGCTTGGAGGCTGGACTGCGCTCTGCTACAACACAGGAGACAAACAGCAGGTCACGCGACTGACTTGACCACATCTCAGCCCACCAGAAGGGAACTAATGAGACTTCTGACGGCAGCACACCCTCACTTACTGCCTACAACAACAGTACAGTGCCTTATTGTGTCTCAAAAGCCTAAACATTGGTCACAATTTGTTCAAGTTACCTCAGCTTTCCTGTATTGCTTTTAGGGTTCTTGCGGAAGGACTGGTTTGGTCCAGAGCGAGTGGACATGGTACGAGGTGAGGCTCTTGAAAATGTGGATGGTGGGGTCTTGGGAATCTTCTTTCCAAGGTGGCCAATCCATTTCTTCTGCTCATCCTGGGTCAGGGCCAGCAGGAGCATGTCCCGGGCAGAGGTCACATCGTAGTGTACTGCAGGGGAGAGCACAGGGTGATGCAGTCAGTTCGGACAAATACGACCTCTAAACTACCCCCCATTACAAGGAGGGTCTCTAAGATATATAAAAATAGCTAGTTTTGCCTAAACCCCCAGAGATTCAGTGATCTATAAAATACGAGTGACTACTTGTTTAAGCTCTTCTTCATGGTATTTCATTGTACTGTATTCATTTAAAAAGGACTGAAGATACTGCTACTCACAACCAAATAAATGTTACTTACAATTAAGAACAGGAAGTAGAAGTAAAATATACATAACATATAATATGCAATTACTGTTACAATTGTGGTAGTGTTATGTAATATCAAACGTTTTTTGTGGAGGTTTTGGATTCTAGGAGCACAATAGAGTTTATTTAGTGCGTCCCCGTTTTGTTATTCCTGTGCAATAGGATTAATATTTACGCCTGTGACACAATACACACCCCTGTCGTTGCTTGCCGTATGTAAACATAACATAACTTTTTGTTTATTTACAAGAAGCCGGGGGACATTCTGCAAGTAACCTATTTTGCCACATTTCACTTTCCAAAGTCATTGGGGAAATCACAAATGCTTTTACGAAAGACCCTTGAAACATTGAGTTTATGTAAGCTTGTCTTCTCGAAAACCAGCCTACAACGCCAAGATTGTACCTTTGCAAGGAGCAATAACGTCCTCCTTTTTGTCGAGGTGGTCTTTGTGGCACTTGACGTGGCAGCGGCGACACTCCAGGGCCGGAGGCGGCTTGAAGACGTGCCACAGAGGCTTGGAGCACGCCTCACAGTTGGAAGGGAAGTGATACAGCGTGGGGATGAACTCGTGGCCTTTGTGTGGGAGACAGTTGGTCTTGTCGCCCTGTGGGACTGTCTCCATGTCCGCCTCCTTCCTGCACTCTCCCTCATTGGCATACAGAATCTGAAACGAGACAGAGTACGTCAAAGGAATCTGACAAGACAGACATTTCTGAGGCATAGCAAAGGCTTCTGTGAACATTTTAAAGCAGACTGCAAATTTGAGGATTTAGAGAAATCTCCAGCATCCAACCTGGAATATTCTTGGAATTTCTTCTGTCTCGGCTCGGTACACGTCTCCTTGTGTGACTGGTCTCACGTGGAACAGTTTGCTGCACAAGGAGTAACAAAATGAGTCATTTCATACCAGAAAAAACCCTAACCTGAAACACGACTTCTGGAGGACAATTGCTTTTCATGCAGCATAAAATGAAGGAGGACAAAATAAATACTTACTCGATATCTAGTACCATTGAGGGATTGGACTGTTCTTTATCCTGCTCATCATTATAGAACAGAATCTTCTTGCTGCTCACCACCACATACTGGAAATATTTAAGAGGACAATGAGAGGAAGACGGATATTGCCCTCAAGGGGTTTGCAGCATTCTTAACACTCCGTGACATACTTCTACACAATGCAGGTGCGCAGAGGAAAGGCCAAATAAAACACAACATACCTGCTTCTTCCAGCCGTAACGCTTGATATTAGCACGGTTCGGAATGGACAGCCAACCCTCCAATCTGGATTCTGAAAAAGCAGCCCGGATGAAACAAAACTTTAAAATGTATGCAGTTGATTGAATGTACTTTGGAAAAAAGGCCATGCAGTGGTTAAATCCAAACTCAACTGGAGAAAAAAACGACAAAATCCATTATTGTTTCAGAACAGCAGGTGTCAATGTAACTGCTCTGGAGTAGGTGATTAGAGTTTAGATATCCCATGATGCTAATACACACCCCCCATGCAGGAGGAAGACATAAACATCCCTGCTACAGTTAGCAAAGCATGGAAGATTTAATTATTTCAATTACGTTGAAGCTTTAAGCAGGAATAAGTGCTTATTAACACTCAATGACCTTAATCACTCACTCCTTTAACAGAAACAACCATGTGCAATGCAGGTTTTTAAACATTTCAAATGATACATTTCAAATGCATGCTGCTGAAAGCAAAGTTAAATGGGACGAGTGAACTAAGAGGGGCTTCTCTAATAAATGTGGCACTGTGAGGGAGGTCTTTGTGTCCAAACGAGCAGTACTTCTCGGTGAACATGCCGAAAAACACAAGAGTGTCAAGTCTTTCGAAGCACACAGCCCTATGATGAGCTTAAAAGAGCCTTTTCCGTTTTAAGACGTGTTTTGAATGGTGCTGAGAGTAAGGCGGTAAACCTCACAAGGGGCGTAGTTTAGTAACATGGTAACCTCTGATGTGGTTACTTTACCGTTGGTGCTGACATTGTGACATTTAGCAACCTCACTGCCAGTATCTTTGCTTTACATCCCCTTGAAAAAGGCCTTATAGATGATGTCGGTCAGACTAGGGCTGCACGATATTGGAAAAAACTGACATTGCGATTTTTTTTTACCCTGCGATATATATTGCGATATGAAAACATACAGGAATTGAAGAAAATACTTAATTTTTCCCGCAAACCATCCTTTCTTGAACTTTAATGCTATACAATTGGTCTTTTTTTAACTATATTTAACCGGATGAAGGATTTTAGTCACGGACGTCTGGATCTTAAGTTATCAGAGCAACAAGCTGAGCTAGCTCGGTTAGCAGCGCCAAACTGCCCTGGAGAAATACATGAAACTACTTTATTCAGTGTTTTTACCTTTAATCACCGGGTCCGTTTGCTTTGGAGATTTGATTGGGATTGGTGGTTTGCTGTCACTCACTCAAGTACCCCTGACATGAGAGCCACGCAAGTTTTCCTTTTGTAGCAAGCAGCAAAATAATTGTAACATGACGTGTTTGAGTTGATTTGCCTACTTAGTATCGCAAGTCCTAAAAAATAAAAATAAAAATAAATAAATAAAATAAAATAAAAACATTGCACGTCCACGCGACTTGAATATCGGGCATGCGCATATCGCGATTATCGTCACGACACCATATATCGTGCAGCCCTAGAGGTCAGACTGTTTTTGACAATTGTGACGGATATGTTCCAAACTACTCCATCAGGCTTCTTTCAAAAGTCTTGTTGAGTTCCCCTTAATATCACCTCTGATAAAAGAATACTTTAATAAAAAATATCAGGGGCAAAAAGACACACAACAGCTGCAGCACAGGCCAGGCAAGAGGGGCTTGTCCACTCAGTTACTCACAGAGGACAAAGGAATAGACGTTACAAAGATAAGTAGAGAACCGACTGGACATGAGGGAAATAAAGAGAGAAGGATTTAACCACAGGCACCATCATACTGTATATGAAAACAGACCTACAACAACGCATATTTGTGAACAACATATGTGTTCGAGGAGTGACTTGTGAACAATTGTTAATCATCATACAGCAGTGAGTATTGAAGAGAAACTAAACGTGAAAGACTTCCTCATCTTTGTGAACCAAAAACCACAGTCTGTTGATCTGACTCAATACGAACATAACCAGTCAAATTCATACCCACGTTACGTTTAAGGTAAAGTAGCCGTTTCAGTTTTTCATATTACACTCTTTTAGGAACATTGTAGCACCTATTGTAACCAAAACCAGGCAAGTCAGGAGTTGTAGAAATCTACGCATATTTGAAAACATGTTACCACAAGGAAATGGTGGATGCACATTATCTACCCACATCTTGGATGATGTTAATCAAAAATGTGATATTTAAAAACAAGAGGGCCTCTGTTGCTTTCGTCCTAATGACTCATGAAGTTGGTGGGTGACTTTTTGCAGTCCAATCGGTGAAACCTAACTGAAACGGTAAACAAACACCAACATTTTAAAGCTCCATTAAACTCATTTAATTTGTATCAATAAGACTTGATTCCCAGAATACACCAATGCCTCGAAAGATATGAAAACACTTTATTTAGACTTAATAGCGGCTGAGGATTCCTGCATCTAGGACTTGACTTTCTGATGTGAAGTAACATTGGCAGCATCATCATCCAGTCTGTGGTGACCCTACCTGCGAGGTTGCTGTCCGTCTCATCCGTCTGCAGGCTGGTGACGCTCGAGTTGTCCATGCGCAGCTGCAGGTCGTTCAGTTTCTCCCGGAGCTGCTCGATGTCGCTCTCCTTGCTGTCCAGCTGCATTTGAAGCTCGTTGCGATACGTGCACTCCTCTGTCAGTTGCTGTTGGTATCAAAGCCATGAGATTGAGGTTTAAAATAGAGTCTCTTTTTATCTTACTGGACCAGGGGTGTCCAAACTACGGCCCAGGGGCAAAAGCGGCCCCCAGGCCATTTTGAATCGGCCCTCAGCTAATTAAAAAAGAATAATGAAATATGGCCCACAAATGAAACTTGTGCTTGTATTTCTTAAATATATATGTAAAAATATATTACACAGTATTCATGTGTTAATTATTCCATTTCCAAATCAATTCAGTTAATTAAAGTAGAAAACATTTTCCAACAAATCTAAGATGATAAGAAAAAAGCCCAATAACTTGTTTACATAACAGGCTTGAAATGTACCCTTCATATTTCCTCTTATTATTACATTACATGTTACTTGTTAGACGCTTTTATCCAAAGCGACGTACATACTCAATACTGTGGGCAATCCCCACAGGAGCAATTTGGGGTGAGGTGTCTTTCCCAGGGACACAACGACATGCTGACTGCAGTGGGGTTTGAACCATGGACGTATAAGAACTGGATACAGCGTCGGAGGCGGGGTCTCGTTCTTTCCTATGAGAGCTGCTCATTGGCGCATGAAGGCAAAATGTCCCAACTTTTACGAGAGCGAAACGTCAGATTACCCATCATGCCTAGCTGTCAGAGCAGAAGAACCCTAAGCCCCGCCTCCCGAGCTCCCACTCTCGGCTCAGTAGAATGAATGGAGACAGAAAATAAATCTAGATTCGGCTTTTAGTGTTTTTTACAACTTTAAGGACCGAATGATTCTAATAAAGGCTATAAAATAGTTCATACTGGGTAGTTTATTTAGTTTAAAAAAAAAGTATCCGCTGATTTACAGACGTCTCTTTCCCAATGTTAGTCAATGGGGAAAAGTCTTTCTGGGCCCAGGGACGTCACGGACTGATACGGAAATTGTAGTACCGCCGTTTGGACACAACGAATATTTTCATCAGAGTCCGGCGCACTTCCTGGGGGCTTGGTTTGAACCTGTGCTCCCCTGATCCGAACACCAACGCACTAGGCCACTGCGCCACACGCCTCCGTATTATAAAAAAATATTGCTAACAAAATTAATGAAACCCTATGGAGAGCTGTGATGGAGGCTGTTTTTTTCTTAAAGCATTTTCAAGTATCAAGCATAATTTAATTACATTTCATTGAACTTATAACTTAACTGATAAGGCAATATACCTCACCTCTATCGAGTGGCCCAGCCCTTCGTACATTCTTCTGTACGTGGCCCTCGGAGAAAAACGTTTAGACACCCCTGTACTGGACTATTGTATACTGACAATCGTTGACTTACCGCCTGCATCTCGCCCAACTCCTTCTGGTACTTGATGGCCATGTGGTTGAACTTCTCCTTCTCCTGGTTCAGATCCAGCTGAAGCTTGCGGTTCTCCTTCTCCTTCTTCCGCAGGTCGGCCGTGCTGCCCTTCTTCTTGTGGTCGAGCTTCATGTCCTTGCGGTTCATGATCTCGGCCAGCTTGTTCACCGCCTTTATATTGAAGTGGGTAGATAGAGGGAAAGCATCAGCCACCACTCCCCACTCGCGTTACTGGTGTGTACAACTGAGTGAAAAGGCCGCGTGTTTACCTGAGTCTTCAGTGTGCGCTCTGTGTTCAGGACCTTCTCATAGTTGGCCTTGATTGTATTTGCAATCTCTTCCTTCTGAGCTTCATACTCTGTTGAGAAAGAGAGACTCGTTTATCAAGGTTATCATAATGCAACAAGAAATGTGAAGATATACAAAGTTAGGGACAGTACCTTCATTCTGAGTGCCAAGCTTCTCACTTAAGTCAGACTTCTCTTTGCTGAGGATCTCCACATCTTTGGTCAGAGTTTTATTGGAGTCCTCAAGCTGCAGGGAAAAGTCCATATTATCACTTGTTCAGGTAAGGATTGAGACAATAAATTAAGATAATATGTATTGTGCAGGGAAATACAAAAAATGTTGGATTTGCTTACCCGTGTAATAGTAGACTCCTTCTCCCCTACCTCCTGCTTATGTCTACTTGTGGCCTTCTTGTTCTCCTGGCTGAGCTCAAAGTACTGCTCCTCCTGCAGAGCCCGGGCAAGCTGCTCTGACTCGGCCTTGGTCACCGTCAGATCCAGCTGGGCAGACAGGGAGTCCCTTTGTACGGAAAATAAACAAGTTTGATGTGTTAAAAAAACAAAGAAAACAAATAAGCATGCCTTTCTGAGCTGCTGGTTATCTTAACACCCTGATAAACGCTCTTAACAATGTGTAAAACTGATATTTGGGAGGCAACATCAATAAAGTGATGGCCTTGAGGCATTCTGTGAATATAATTGCGTCTCTTACCTTTCACTGCACAGCTCCTGCACCTTTTTATGAGTGTCTTGTACCTGCCGGTTCCTTTCCTCAATCTCCTCTTTTAGCTCCTTGACCTGAGTTTTGTAAAGCGTCTGAGGGAGGACAAACGGTTTAGTCGTCGGCTTTCACATTTCAAAAAGAGGACACGGACATCTGGGAAGCGTATATACTTACAGAAAAATACTGTTCGGCCTCAAGCTGGTCCTGAAGTTCCCTCATCTGTCCCTCATTGCCTCTGTATTGTCTGTTAAAACATCAACCAAATACATTCAGTACTTTCATTTCTTCAATCCAGCACATTCTTAACAACAATGTTTACCCAGGTACAACCAGCAGCAGTAGCCAGAAGATTAACATCTGAGCGTGGCGCTGGACTTTAAAGCCTAATCCTTTATTGTAACAGATTTGGCATAGTCACACTCTAAGCTGGAATAATAGCGCTTATTTGCAAATAGAGGCAATTGCAGGTCAAATCACGCCTTGACTCCCAAAGAGCATTACTGGCCATTGTAGCAACAGAACATTAGATCTCCTGGCTGGAGCTACTGCCAGTTTATTTCAGAGTAACAGGAAGTGGCAGAATCGAGGAAGCTAACCCAAATGATGATCATTTAGTATTTACATGGAGACACAATGCATTGTTGTTAGTGCAATGACAGCACTTGCTACATTTAATGGAAGAAAAAACAAGTCATACATTTTACAAATGGATTTTTTTAGATTGTAGTGCCGGACGAACTCACTTGGTCAGCTGTGCCAGTTGGAACTCCAGCGAGCGTTTGCTCTCCATCGCCGTGTTGAGTTCCTGTTTGACCTGTTTCTCTGAACACCGCAGCCGGTCCACTTCCTGCGAGCGGCTCTTCAGGTCGTTCTGAGACTGGACTCGCTTGCTCGACTCCTGTTCTCCCTGTATCCGCAGATTCTTCACCTGGGGAAGGACGACACGAGAGAGGTTAGATATCACTGATACCAATCACAGGGACTAGCACAGTCAAAGGGATTCCTTACCTCATCTTCCAGCCTTTCTTTTTGCTTCATCAGCTGCTCCATCTTCTGCACGGACTGCTTGAGGTCAAACTCCAACATTGAGCACTGCTTCTCCACCTCCACTATCCGGCACTCCGCTCGCATCCTCGCTCCATTCTCCTCAGACATCTTCGACTGAACAGCTGGAGGAGCGAGGTTACAGAAAAAACAGTCATTTCCTTTTTCTGACAGAATATCAACATCTGAAGTCAAACTGAGAGTCCATCTTTCTGGTACGTCTACATTCTAACATTGTTCTTGTATTTATAATAACTAAATGGAGGAATACAGGGGCGGAAAGAGCAAGAACAAAATGTGTTGTGGTCGTTTATCCATGTCTGAACAACAGTAGACCTAATGTAACATAACTGATTTAAGACAAAATCTGATTTTAGGTAGCTTTTGATCACCATTTTGATTTAATTCTCTATTACCAAAGGGCAGGGTATGAGCTGTACTTGTTTCAAATGAATTGTTTTCAGTACATTTCAGTGTGTTTTTGGCGCTTTAAACTCATGTAGATTAAACAAACGTCTTTAAAACTCGTAAAAATCTTCTTCATGAACATCTGTAACACTGACATAAATGATCCTTAATTACAAGAAAGGGATTTAATAGAAGACCTTGGCCTTTCCCAGCATGTACAAGTACGTTTTACTGATAGAGAATCATTCTATTGCTAAAACGTTAGATTTGTAAAAAGGAACTGTCCTGACATGCTGGCAGGTTAACACTCCTTGAATTCCTCCCACCCAAACATCCCCTGCAGGTGAGTCAGACCAGAACGATGGAACAGGAAGAGGAAGGGGAAGTCGGGAAGAAGTTGATTCAAATATACGAGCGAGAGAAGTTCCGACACAGGTCATACCGTTGGTAGCGGCTGATTTGGCCTCTTCGATAGACTCATATTTGTCGGTGAGCTGTGCCCGCGTCACCCGGTGCTCCAGCTGCTCCTGCTCCAGACGCTGCTGCAGGGTCTTCAGTTTGTAGTTCAGGTCTATCTCCAGGTTGTTCTTTTCCTGTGAAGATGGCCAACAACATGAAGGCAAGCTAAAACACACAACTGACTTCTTCTTCTTTTTTTTATCTAATTAGCCATGCACAAAATAATAGCAATTTCTACATTTCACAGGTTGAAAGGACATATGTATTTTGCACATTATCACTTCTTGTGTGTACCTTCTCCAGGTTGTTGCTCCTCTCCTGGGCCTGTTTGCGTTCTGACTCCACTTTAGTGAGGCTGTACTTCAAGTGTTTGTTGTCCTCTTGCAGCCCTGCCATCCTCGCTGAGAACAGATAATAAAGACATGTCACTTTCACTGTATTTATCATATGAAGCTGGCATTTTAGTGGAACACTCTTTTTAGATATGTAATGCCTTCACAGGGTCTATGCAGGAATCCTGAAGTCAAATGTAATACCTTTTAAGACCTTTTTTAAGACCCTTTTCAAACATTTTAAGACCTCATCGCCACTTCGAGTTGTAACATTGGCGACACACTTCACCTCACATTGACTATATACAGTATTGATTGTCCTTCCTCCTTATCTTCCAACCATTTGGACGCAAACTTGCATTTCCCCATAACGCTGTTGTTTAACAACCGCGTAAACGGACCTTCGTGCGCTATCAAGCAGTGAGCGTGCGACGTCCTGTTCAGATGACGTCAAACCCAACGGGATGCCATCAATAAACTACACAGAATCACACTACACACCTACGCAATGATTACATTCAGGCAGACTGTAGAATACAACCTCTTTGGACAATTCATATACTTATTGAAAACTAGCTACAAAATGTAATACCTTGGAGAATGCCGTTTAATACTTTTTAATAGCCTTAATTTTCGCTAATTTGATTTATCAACTTTTAATACTTTTTAAGACCCCGCAGGAAAGATACTTTGAAGCCTGTTTTACGCATTGAATTCCATGAATTACAGAAGCTTGTTTCTATTAAAAGATAGCCTGCTCACGGGTAATCAATCAGACAGTGATTTGGCTGCTGTGGGCGCTGTCAGTGCTTGGGCACGTCTAACTCATCAGTGGGACTGAGGGATAGCTTCTATTACGAGGCAATTCTACAGCTAAGAGATTACAATTCTAAAAGTGATTTTAAAGCCCACTGAAATGGTTTAAAATACTACAATTCTGCCCTGTTTTTTCTTGTGTCTTAGCTCGTAGGTACTTTCTACCGTCTTTGAACTCTGTGATAAACATCAAACCAGATTGTTGTGCTGGATTTGCATTCATCATCGTTTGTGTGTCAGTGGGTCACCTTGCAGCTCCATGATCTCCTCAGATCCCAGGCTGTAGTTCCTCCTCTCTGAGTCCAGGTTGCTCTGAAGCAGCAGGAGCTCCTTCTCCAGCTGGGCCTTCTCCCCGTCCACGGCGCGGCTCCTCTCCTGCAGCTCCCGGTTCAAGCCCTCCAGCTGGCTCATGGACTTGGCCATCTCCGTGTGGCTCTTCCTCAGTCTCGCTGCCGTGTCTGACTCTGCACGCAGGAGGTCATTGGCCTCTTCCATCTGTCAATCACAATAGAGAGGAGGGGGAAGGAAAATTAGGTGTGATGCATTGCCCTCCACTAGACTGACGTTGTTTTTGCGTGCATGTGTGTGAAGAATACATGATTCTGCAGCTGTGTGATCTTGTCATTTGAGGCCTGAGAGTTCTGGCTGATCTTCCTCATATCTTCAAGCTGCTCCTTCAAAGATGACACTAGAAACAAATCAGATATTAATTAGACAGAGCTTCATATAAGCTCCTATTTCAACCACAAGTAATGTCCTCTAAAAACACAAATCTAACTAAAAACCATTCACAGCATTTACAGTCTTTAACTCTAACAGTGTATTGCTTGCAAATCTACTTGGTGTTGTTTTTGCGGCAAATCAATAAGAAAGTTAGACGGACATGAGCGTGATTTAACATTTAAATAGATGCGTAGACAGCAGTGAGCAATAGGAAGGTCACACCAGGATTAGGGCTGAACGATTAATAGATTTTTTTTCTTTCTTGTGTGTCAGTCATCCACACCAATCAGAAGTGCTGTGCTCCATGTGTACCAGCCATTGTTAACCAATCAGAAGTGGCCCATGATAGAAGGTGATAGACAGATTGATCCAATCACCTGCCAAGTATTTTTGAAACCATCCGAGTCAGGTTAGTAATGCTCCATCTCATGTTTTACATCTATTACAGAGTGAATCTTAAACTGAAGCTTGACTTTAAAGCAACCCAATGGAAGTTTCAAGTTTAGTTCTTTCACACGTAGCTCGGGCTGCTAGAGACGGGAGCACGTTGATACGACCTTCCAAGCCGGAGATATGGCTGCATTTTACAATAAACTTCCGTTGGGTCGCTTAAAAACAAAATCGCAAATCGAATCGCAATATCTGTCAGAAAAATCGCAATTAGATTATTTCCCCAAATCGTGCAGCCCTAGCCAGGATACCAGCTATTATTAAGGTGGAATATGTCTTGACCAGATCAAGTGAGAGGATAGGGCATTCATCAAAAGTATGTTCATAACCAGCTGCTTCCGTGCTCCACTCTCCAATTATACTTTAATTGCAGTGTCTGGATCATGCATCGGCAGCAGCTCATCACATTTACCCTCATTCTCCAGATTGCGCCTCTTCTCTGCATCCTGGTCAGCTTTTCTTTGGTACTCTGTGAATCTGTGCTGCAGCATGATCTTGTCCTTCTCCAGCAGAGACACGCCGGCCTCGGCACTCTTCCTCTGGTTCGCCTGTGGCAAGGAACAGAACAGCTGTGACGTGGCTGTGATGGGAAAAACCATCTTCAATCTAGCCCCTGATTGAACAGAATGTCTAACATGTTGTCTATCGTCAAACTTTCTGAATTTTTCAACCAAGACCAAAGCTGTAGATGCTTCTTTTTATCGATATAGTTATGGATATCTATAAGAAGAGTGTTGAGAAAATGGTCAGCATTTAACCTCTTCATCCAGTTCTTTTATTATCTTCTCGATCTTGGTGCTCGATGTCCTGTGGAGAACAGAGATAAAAAGTGAATACATTGAAAAGTCTGGTTTACCATTTAAAAGCAATCAAGAATACTCATGCAAACACTTGCAACCAAAGGCCAGAGAACACATATGTCATAAAACTTATTTGTGGCCCTTTCTACATTTGAAAATATCCGAATTTGACTAGAAAACAATTAAATGACTTTTTTCTTAGAAGTAAATATGAATATGTTTTTCCTAAACCTCTGTAATGCTGTGGTCTGCTTTTTGACAGATCGGAGGACCAAAGAATTTGCATCATGCCTGTGCTTTGACTATGCAAGTGTCTATTTGTATCTTTATGAATGAAAGTCCTGTTCTGTACCTGCATTTCTGCTCCAACTCATCCTTCAGCTGCATCTCACTGTGGAGCTGCTCCTCCAGCTGGAAGATCCTCTTCTGCAGGCCCTCCAGCTACAACACACAATAAACAGCCTTAAAGGGGGCCTAACATGCAAAATGCACTTTTTGATTTTTGATGTGTTCAGACAATAAAACCCTCTCTCTTTTCCTCCGTACCCAAATCTCTAAAAACGGGGGTACAACGGAGCTGATCCAGATTTACGTCCGATATGACGTAATATCGGAAATGTGGACCCACGGCACTATCAGAAAGTTGCTATCAGAAACATTGCCATCAGAAACAATGCCCGACTGTTTTGGACGTAATATGGTCGGTGTTTACATTAGCATCGCTAACACTCAGAGCTAACCTGTACTGGAGAGCATGTGTGTGAAGAAGCAGGAAGTAAAAAGGAACTCACCTTGTGGTATAACCGGCAAGAGAGAAAGCCTTTGAGCTCCATACTGTTTCAGAAATAATCCTTGATAATCCATGATATGGCGTTTCATCACGGCAGTATTTAGTTTAGACAGTAGCTGCCGGGTCCCGCATGAGCTCCGCCCCCTCCTTTTTTGTTATCAATTTCCTTTTTTAAAAAAAAGCTTTATACCCAAAATCAGCACTTTTGAAACAGGAAGTGAAATAGAGGGATATGAGGCGTGGCTAGAATGGGTGATCTGTTTGGTATTTTGAGCAAAACACTTCATAGACATGTTTTTTTACATATTTTTATATATCTGAGACCTATGCTATTGCCTAAAAATAGCATGATAGGTGCACTTTAAAACGTCATGTATACAGACAGCGCAGATACCTGAAGTAAAGAAACGGTTTAGAAATAGGCAGATATTCTATGATTTAAAGCTCCTTAAAGTTGTGCTCTACTACTTACATGACTCTTGTCTTCTTTTGTGAGGCTGTTACGTTTGTCAACGGTCTTTGCGTTGGCAGGAGAGGTTCTCATAAGGCTGGAAACAAAGCACATTTCATTATTGAAGAAATGTTTACAACAGTGATACTTAAATTCCTCCTAAAAACGACATCTACCTATAAACAGAATAAATAGGTATCGCTGTTGTAAAAGGAGCATTTAGAGGCTAAGCAAGGAGTTCGTACATCCGTGACATTCTCTCCAAAATAAGGTATTCAAACAATGTCGACTATGACAACGTGATTTCCACCATGCAAACAGAGAGTGCGCCCTATGGGCTGCTCCTGAAGTCACGAGTCATAGTAACACGTGGAGTACTGATTGAAAAATGCATAATCAGAGCTTTAAAATCCTACATCCACATATAATGTTAGGGCCATTTAGTGATGCAAGAATCCTAACAGTTCGGCACTTGGGTTATAAACATGTGTGGCACACTCACTGCTGACTGCTGTAGTAAGTGAAGCCTACGAAGGGCAGCTGGTTGCCCGCGAAGGCCTTTGGTGTGGGGAAGGTCTCCTCCTCCCCCCGGTCCTCCTCTATATCATCAAAGTTACTGGTGTCAACGTCGCTGCTCAGCTCAGGCACTACTGGGGCAGCCGCTACACAGGGCACGAGAAGATGGATTATTAGTTAAGATACAGAATATGAACCATTCATTATGGCTAATTATTCAGTGTGTGTTAAAGGCAGAGTCAATGATACAAAAAGAATGTAAATAACAAGTTTCAGGATGTCTTTTAATACAGTGAGTAATAGAGAAAAAAATTATGTTTTCTGAGTTTCTTTAGATCAATAAAGACGGCGGGAAAATAAGATCCTTCATGTTTTTCACTGTAAAGGCTAATCAAACAGTAATAGGCTAACCCAAATCACATAAGAATTTGACATATTTTTAACATTTGCAGTATATTAACAGCATTTTAAACGTACGTCCCTTCCAGATAGATAAGAGACAGTGAGCAAGTGTTTCTCTTGTCAGAGCAGAGTTTTTTTCTGGAGCGCAGATCTCTTTAAAATAAAGGAAACCAGCGAGCTAGCAGAGATGCTCAACCAGTGGAACGACAGCGGTGGCCCACAGCAAAGTGCTGACTTCAGCCTCGTGAAGTATTACAAATAAAGCCAATAAAGAACCGACCATAGCTCCCGGATTCAGCGCTACATCTCTAATCTCTTTCTGCTGCAGCGTCAACACTGGTGCATTTACATGTTGCATTGGACTGCTTCCCCCCTGTTGGCCTCAAAAAACGCTGTGCTGCCAATTATTCCTCTGAGCAGGAATCACGTTTAGTCTTGGAGAGGATACTGAATGAATGGCTCGTCTACAAGAATTTCCTGCAACTGTCCGTAGTAGGTCAAATGGAAAACATGATGGCTGGCTTCGTGATTGCGGTAACAGTGAGCAGACTGCCAAATAATATGGGAGGTGTAATGTGCATTGTTAACAGTAAACAAGGCTCCTACTGTCTCTGATATTCTCCCATGTCCACTGGTCGTTCTTGAAGAAAGGATGCCTCTTGATTTCATCGACACCATTACGGCCAAGTCGAATTTCCCTGTGGAGAACATACTTTTATTATTAACAGTACATTATTTCACAATACCAGAAGCACATTTTCTTCATAAGTTATTATGTTGACGTCACTGAAGATTCTTTCCAGAGTGTTCTCTAAGCCAGGAAACAATCAATGCCTAAACAAGGAAAGGGTTATAATGATAAGAGCCCACTTCAAGTGGCACCTCAAGTGCTTAGTATGCCACTATCTAACCTGTCAGTCAGGAAAGCACAGATGAGATTCTTGGCGTCATTAGAGATGTCGCTGTCGTCGGGGAAGGTCAGGGCATTCTTGTGGTTCATAATTTTGCTGTAGGTCCCCACCAGGGAGTCTGCATAGAAAGGAGTGTCGCCTGTGCACAAGAAAAAAGAGCAATCGATTACGCATGTGCCCACAGTAAGAACAAGCTGCAGAGAACACACACACAGTACACGAAAAGTGCACAGGAAAGCTTCACTGTGGTGTTTTATAAAAGAGAGAAAAGTAACAATGCTCCAGAGGCCTTGAACACAAACTTCAGATTTATGACAGGTATAATAACATTAAAGTGAACTATTAGAGGAAATATTTTATCAAAAACTCACCGACAAGCATTTCGTACAGGAACACCCCCACTGACCACCAGTCACACTCTCTGCCATAACAGCCATCTCCCCCTTGAGATTTCAGTACCTCCGGCGAAATGTAGTCTGGAGTTCCCACTGCTGTGTCGCATCGTACCATACCATCCTAAAGGGGACAAATATTTGGGGAAATATCACAATTTGATCCTTATAATAATACATTCCTTGAAGTGCTGTCGGAGCCCTGCATTTTTCATACACATAATAATCTGCAAAACAACTTAAAATCTCAACGTTATAGGACTTGTCATGCCTGTGGTGTAAAAACATTTGGTGATGAAAATTAAAAGTGATACCTTGTTCATTTTCATGCAGGTCCCGAAGTCGGCCAGTTTTAGGTGGCCTGCTTTGTCTAACAACATGTTATCAGGCTTTACGTCCCTGAGAAGGCAAGAATACAGCGATATCAAACACATGCAACACACAAACAATGCAGCTAACTCAAGCATGTAACCAGAAAATACATTTAAGAGAAGAGTTAAAGCTCTCCTCATCAGAAGTGTCTGAAGGTGCTTCAGAGCTCTGTGGGGATAAATCAGATGTAATGAGGTAGGAAGGACGCTGGGACCCGAGAAAGCAGAAATCATGGTTTTCTTCACAACTTTCCTACACTTTAAGCTCATTTGAAAATACTAGACAGCTATTGGATAAAAAATGTCATGGTGAGAATTTTCCACCATCGCAGCTGTGCACAGAGCTTAGTGTGTGGAACTATATCAAGTAGCATTCTTATAAATGGAAAACACATTTCTTTTTGATGGCTGTCATGTATTGAAATTGAATCATAAAAATGTGCTGCTGTCGAGCACACAGATGTATTACCCTACTACTCAAAAAGATATCAAAAACCTAGAGCCAGCATCATGGGACTGCGCTGATAGACAATTTGAATCTCATAAAGATCATTGCTGAAAGGTCACAACATAAATGAGACAACACTGACAACAAGTGCAACTCATTTAAACTGAAATACAGAGACAAGCTGCGTGTGTAGTGAAAGAACACAAATATGACTTGTTCAGAAACAAGTAGTAAGTTTTACCTGTGCTGGACTATGGTGATCTATTTTATATGAATGCGCCGGCCAATTACCTCACCAAGATAGATGCTGCCTATCATAGTGCACTAAGGTTTGTGACAGACTGTAAGACTTTGACTCATCACTGTACCCTGTATACAAGGGCAGGGTTGCTTTCACTTACTGTACGGCGGCTAAATCACTGGTATCTTTTTATTTATAAAGCAATGTTAGGGAAACTTCCGTCTTACATCTGTTCCCTGATCTCACAGCGTATTGTAAATGGCTACTGTCTGAGATCTAAAGCTGTGGTTGTATTACATGTGCCAACTGCTAGGACTGTATTAGGAAATACAGCTTTTAGATGCGCAGCGCCGCTAGCATGGAACAGTCTACAAAAGGAATGGAAGCTAAGCAGTTTGATTCCATTTCATGTTTTTAAAGCTAGGATAGACGCTATACAATCAGAAAATATTGGTGTCTGTAAATGCTACTAGTATACAAACTGTAATATCATATAATGTCCTTTGTTTTCTGTCATGTTTGTATTAATGTTTGGAACTAATTGAAGCAGGTCACCATTGTAAAAGAGGTCTATGATCTCAATGGGTTTTATCTGTATAAATAAAGGTTTTGAATTGAATTGAATTGAAGGCCGACCTAAAACACTAGCATTTATGTTAAAACCAGTACCTTTGAGCCTTGCTATCTGTTTTTTTATAAAACCTCTTCATTTAATTGTTTATTTGGCAGGAACAATGCACAGTAATGAACACTTAAAACATTCAAATGTATCAAGCGTAACAGTGCCAGATTTAGCTTTGAGCTAATTTCCATCCGCAGTCCCTCGCATAAAACATTTAAGAAAATTACATTTTACAAACATGGCAAAAACAAAATACATGATGTGCGAAAGAGCAGCATACACAAGTATTTACCACATGGTAATACAATATAGCAGCAAACAACATATCAAGTGCAAGAGAAGATACAAGAGCTACATAAAGTAAGTGCGAGAGGAGATACCCCTGTGTTAAAATGCATTTAGTCTTCAACCATTCTTTGAGTTGACCTTTGAAGCTATTGAGAGTGGGACAATCCCGTATCTCAGTTGGGAGGCTATTCCACAACGAGCTGCCTTTAACGGAGAGGACATTTTGTCCAAAAGTGGTCCGTCTGTGGTGGACCTCACAGTCTCCTCTGGTTTCTGACTGTGAGGTCCACCGTTGATTAGATCACAGTTGTTGAGAACCTTAAAAGATAAATAATTGTACACATTTACTTTAGACGTGGTTTCAGAGAGAATTCCAAACTGACTACGAAACATCTAGAACTGCCTTACAGATTTAAAAAAAACAAAAAAAATGTCCATCAGAAATGAATCCCAGCAACGTGTTGGACGGCAGCCAATGGAAACCCACCTCACAAACCCAAAGGGAGGGAGAGCTCTGATGTTACCTGTGGATGAAGCCCATGGAGTGGATTCCGTCCAGAGCCTGCACCACTTCAGCGGTGTAGAAGCGGGCCCACTTCTCCGGGACGTCATAGTTGCTCATCAAGTTAACCAAGTCGCCACCCGGCATGTATTCCATCACCATGTAGAGGTAGCGGTCATCTTGGAATGCAAAAAATAGCTGAAGAATAAAAAAAAGAATTGGTTAAAACAATGAGCAAAAAAGACACAATTGAAAACATGACTTAAGAATTCATTTGAGAATCACACAAAAAGCTGGGTTAATGTCTGTGTGGTCTGCATTCAATAATACTACACTAAGTTAAGTAGGATTGTGACGCTTTGTCTCTATCACATCATACCTGCACCACCCATGAGCTGTTGGCAAAAGCCATGATGTCCCTTTCCTCCCAGAAGAAAGCAGAGTCCGACCTCTTGATCATTTCAAACTTGCTCAACAGCTTCATGGCGTATACTTTGCGCGTGGCTTTGTGTCTCACCTGGAAAAGATGAAGAGGTGAAAACCGTTTTAGTTGGGTTGAATTCTTTCTCATCTTTAGAGCAAAAGATGATATATATTCTTACCAGTTGCACCTCTCCAAATGCTCCCCTCCCAATAACTTTAACCACCTCATAGTCCACCGCTTTCATGCGTAGATCACGGATTTTACTAATGGTTTCCTTATCTAAAAAGAAACAAGGAAAGACAGAAGTTAGTCAGAATCAGAAACAGGTTTATTACCAGGTAGGTTGACACGTACGAGGAATTTGACTAGGTGTCATGGTGCATACATAAAAGTAAAAAAAATTAAAAACACAGATATTATAGAACTATAATAACATTCCAAAAATAATAAAGAATATAGTAAAATATAGCAGTATTTACATTGAAATGGAAAGGAATATAATATGTGCATTAATAATAAAACATATATATTGTGTGCATTAATTTAATGCATAGTCTAATAGAAAATAGAAGCTTTATAAGCTAAGACTAAATATACAATGGGTAAAATGTTCATTTTGCGTGTTCAGGATGTTTTCGTGTGTCAACCACAATAAAAAGGAATCAACGGCACACGTCCAAGAGGAAGCTTGGAATTGCAGCACCCAAAAGCGTGAAGGGAACAAGGGAAACACCAAGCATACAAAGTGGATCTGGGGTGGTCTTTCACACAGTGGCGTGGACCGAATCACTTGCTTAGTTCTGGACGAAGGGGGCCACTTTGAATGTTGTCTTTACGTCCACAAATAACCTGCTCTTAGTGTTTTTAATGTGTTGACCATTATAAAAGAGTCTTATACTTCAAGTCAGTTTAGTGAAAGTTGCTGGAGGTAGCTCTCAGAGCATGGGTTTTTTATATTAAAATAAAGTTCCATGTTGAATTTGTACGGGAGATCAGAGACACTTTTACTTTACGCAACATCATTTAGGCAGGGGTAGTCCAAGAAATCGACTAATAATGAAGAAAATGAACCCATTTGTTGCAATAGTCATTTATACACAAACTACATTACTACTTGTACAACAACGTTTGAATCATCAGTTTTTCCTCATTTTCTTCAATTGTTCATATTTGGTTTATTAAAATAATTATATTGTGGTCATTGTTAAAAAACGTCTGCTATTATTATGAGTATTATTATTTGTATAATGCGCTTTCTGCCTTCCAGCCATAATCAGGAGTTAGAAATGTAATAGATTAGATTAGAACCTTCATTATGCTAAACTGCTGGGACATTTCCTTAAAGCCAATACCTTTATATTTTCTACCCTTCACTTACTTGTCAGCATAGGTCGGCATTGATGTACAGAGCCGACCAAAGACCTTGTTTATATTGGCATCATATTGCAGCTGAAACGTTCTCTCCCTCTTCTTCTCATACTTCCTGTCACTCTCCTTTAACTCCTCCGGTGACATTGTTTTTTTGCCCGGCGCTTGGCCGGTTACCGCTGGTATTAAAAACATTTTGGCGAATGGTTAGGTGGCGAGAAAAGTCTGCAGTGAACGAGTCACGGGTCAACTTCTGCTATATGTTGACACAACGTGACACCTAAGCAGGCTCCCGTAGCAGAAGTTGACTTTCGTAGAAACATCCAGCCTGACAGCAAGCTGAAAGCTGACAGCGCCTCCGCACAGCTGAGATCTGCTGTTCAGGGAAAGTGTTGCTTACTGAGAGTTGGCCTCTCCCCAATGCAACACTTGCAAGCTCCCCTAGGGAAGATAGTATTCCATGTTCAGCCAAATTTGGTCATAGTTAAAACAAGGGGGGATCATTTTCAATTCACATGGGTCAGAACTGGCACCGGAGCTCCTGGAAAAGGGAGATGCGGGGGGGAGCATTTAAGTTAAATTGAACTAAAAATAAAAAGCAAGGCCTGAGTTATTAACATAAGAACATTTAAGAGTGACTCATTTCCACTGTGAGCATAAGTTCCCTGGATCATGAAAGTCCCAGTGGAGCTTAATGACATATAAAGCATGTTTAGAAATGGTACAAATATAATTTGAAGTTACTGTTACTGTGTGTATTTGCATGTGTGTTGGGGTGGAGGAGGATTATTTCCAGTTGGTCCCTTTATACATACAGTCGAGCAACCAGCTGATGTGATCAGGGTGCAGGGCACAGTGCGTGGAGGAAAGAACTCAAGAGTAAAGAGCCCTTTAGGCAAAGCATGCTACTGAGACCCTCATAAGACAGCTAGTCCATTAGTCCACATCCATCTCCAATACTTTGCTGCTATACACAAACGCACTGTACCAAGAGTAACTGAGGAGATGCCTAATGGCAGTTTTAGCCCAGGGGTTTCCAGTAGGTTGGGTCTATCATCAAATATTACATTTCCTCAAACTTCTTTTTTGTTCCACTAGGAGTGTAAGAGAAATCCTTACACTGACAAAAATACACTTTTCATATAGAGGCAGGCTGTCCCCACTTCACTTTTGACTAATTAACTCAAGTCAATACAATTTAAAAGATTTTACAAAATGATTGTAAAATGCCTGCAATGCATTTGTGTTGCAGACCTATTGAAGGAAGGTCACACGCAACAACAACAGTAGTGTAAACAGAGCAGCGTGCCATCTGATCAATGCTGCACATGAACATGCATTTCAATGGCTGTCACTGCAAAGCCTTTTTGCTAAGATATCAAGACTGAGAATAAAAAAAGGAAAGCTAATAAACACAAAGGATAAACCTAAATGCAAAGAAATTGGGCAGTTATAGATGTATTGGGGGAAAATGTAGATTTACCATCCGTATTTGGATTGGTATTTTAGTTATGGGGTTCCCCAGTCTGAGGGCACTGTGAAAAAGAGAAGCCATCAGGATAGACACCATGTGGGTCACCAGCCATTTATGAAAGCCCCTTTGTTGGGGACACTAAGCAGCAGACACCTATTGTGTCCAAGCCCACATGGAGGCGGTGACCCAATAACAGCCTTCTTTTCTGAGGCTTATACCCATATGTACCGCAGTCTTCAAACAAAAAATGGCTCAAGTGAAAGACATATAGAGAGGAGGACATGAGGGAAGAAGCATGATGTGAGCTACTTACATCTACTCAAAAAGTTGTCAATGCTCTTGTTTTTCCTCAGGGCAGGAAAGTCAAGGTCATACACCAGTGCGTCCAAGCCATCCTGTGGGAAGAAGAGAAAGGGTTAACAACCAGGCAAACAATGCTGCTGTGTCTACCACATCAGTGACATCACACACACACAACATGCAAAAAGCAAACACAGAGTCCTGTCAGGCCTCTGAAGAACGGCTTTAAAAAGACTTCTGCATAATGCAAGCAGTCGGCTTTCAGCCTGGATTACAATCATGTATTGTCAATAGCTGGATTTCAGTGCTGCTGTAAATATTCAGTTTCTTAAGTGGTTAGAAACAGATCTATTGAAGTGGCATTGGTCTATTAAATGTCGCCTGCAATGGACAGTACTAAAGTGTATTTAAATTCACTAAAGTATTATTGTAATGCTGGCAGAGTGTTTAAAATCCATGGTGTGCCTTTATAAATGCTTGTCAGGAATAAAGAAAAAATGCCACTTCTAACAATTAATAGAATGGATAACTTAAGCACTCGCTATTGTTTTTATAGAAAGTTAACATTAACTGTAAAAGACCCATTGCCTGAAGAACTAAAGAAACTTGTCTGGTCTAATTACCGTCAGGGCTATGTTACTGAAAGTGTACATGAGAGCATATGCACTCTGAAAGGTTATGATGACTGGGGGCTTCTGCCAGCTGCTGAACAGAAATGTGTTTATGAGCCATACTGCTGAAAACCTTGAAGCCAAAGAGCAAACATGGACACTGTGAAAAAGAATGTTTCACATACAGCATGCAAAAATAGCTAACCAGAATGCCACAGTTCATCACGACACAGGGGTATAATAAACCAGCTTTCTCTGAGTTCCATGTACAACTCATATCAGAAATAGGTGCAAAACTAGGCCTCCATACTGAGACACTCATGGCAAGGTAAACATACACATTGTATTTGCATAAGAAGTGGCTTGTTTTGGCTGGATGACCAATGGCAATATGTCCCACCCTGGTGACAAAGTATCTATTAAAACGTACTGAAGAAATGTAACTTAGGTACTTTTCGATGACTAGGGCCTCAACAAAAGTCATACAGATGAGGCAAACCGTGTGAAAGCACAATCGAGTGCTGCAACACCCACAAACCCTCGTTAGAAACCCTTTCATGACGTTGAGCTGCACAGTTCCTGTTAGTTGTAAAATAGGAGTTAAGAATGATGGTGTCTTTAAATCAAATTGAAAAGGCCAGTGCACACATATCCATTTTAAATATGATGCGACAACTACATTATTGGAGTTATTTCCAAGAGCTAAAACACACAAGACAGACCAGATTATGTCTAGCTAGGCAGGAGAATAAATGCTGCTGGCAGGATTTAATCTAATCTTCCATAATCCAGAATGGCTGAAAGAAGACTGGCACTTGAGCATGACATACTGTTATGTATTCCCTCTGGCGGGTGTGAGCCAGATGTGGAAACTGAGCATCTTCTAACCCGTAGCCATGGGTCACCGAGCTTGCAGTTTTTTTCCTGAAAAAGGTTTGAGGTCAATATTACAGCTGGTCTGCCCATAGTATATCAAATAAGCACCTTTATTTACTTGGCTACATTCTGCTCTGATCTCACTGTCATAGAAAGAATCTTGTCATTCCTGTATAGTGAATGATGCTGGTGAAATATTCAAAGGATTTATTTTTGCTTCTCTGAGCAAAACAATGATGACACATGGTGAATCAGCAGCTCAGACAAGGCGAGGAATCCTCTTAAGTAACCTGATTGGAGGTCAGGGCCATACCCCCCCTCCCCTCTTTGAGACATAAAACAAGCAAGCGCCCTGCGGGATGGGTGGGAGCAGGGAAAGAGGCAAATGGGAGGTGAGGAATGGCTGGTGGGAAGAACAAAGGCAACGTAGACAGAATGTGGGAAATTAATGAGAGGGTAGGTTGTGATCAACACACATGGCTGAGCTGAGAGCCATCATCTGCTCAGAGAAAACATACAGTCGACTTTCAGCGAGGCAAATGTACACATGGGAGGAAAAGGGGTCCTTGTTGGCCATACGGTATCCAGCCAGCCTGCACTGGGAAGAAAAGCTGAAGAACCGAGTCCTTCAAGACCCTAATCACAAGGCTCTGTGCTCAGCAATGCACGTTTGCATAACTTCCTGCCGCAGAGAACTCTGGACAGCCACAGTAACATTCCTTAACAGGACTGTACACGTCAGAGCGCTATTTTAGGTATGCGGCCAAACAAGTTCTCAACAAAAAGTGAAGGAAGGGAGGAAAAAAAAATCCATCCCAAGTACAGAGTCACACAGTGAGCCTTATTTTCAATCAGCACTAGAGTTCCTAACACTATGACGGAAAGGAGGAGGAAGGGGAGGGCTGGTGCAAGGGGGCCTGGCTCGCCCTATAGTAGAACAAATGAAGGAAGAAACAAAGAAATTCTGAAGACAGGCATGCTATGAGTCTTGAGACAACAGTGTGACAAATACCCGGGTTCAGTCGGAGAAACACTGGGAGGACACAAAAGAATCAAATTGCTTAATTGAACTAATTGGATTTTAGGAATAAACTGTAAATTAGCTTTCTGAAGCAGTAAGAGTGTGAAGCACTGGGTGTGAGAGCAGCAACAGATCCAGGATTGAATCTCAGCATTTAAATCTCTGCTGTGGTGTCAGCTATCTTCATGGAAAGAGAGATACAGAGGTGTTTGGAGTGGGCCATATAGATTAAATCCTAATATTAGATATATGCATTTGTGTTCACGAAACAGTGATATGGTCAATGCTGTGGTAAACGCAGGAAACCAGTTATGAATTAAGATATTCTAGCATATTTAATACCTGAAACCTATGGAAAAATCGACTTTTTCTATAACGTAGTAATGCAAGACTGCCCACAAAGGCCACCCGGGCTACAAAAGCACAACAATGATACAAAACTCTAACTGTGATTACTTGATATCGCCTCGCAAAACAGCCATATTGGCCCACCCTCACATGCGTACTTGAATGCTTCACACATCAGCAGTATATCATTGAAAAAAAGCCAGTGTGTAAATAAAAATCAGCATTTTGTTTAATATCACTATCCAATATATAATTATGAAACCAATCTAACTGCTAACTGACTTATGAACATCCAGGCTGAGGGTCAGAGGCCAAACATCCTCTGTCACTATCAGTCTTTAGCCGTCAGACCTCTCTGCCGCTGGGTGAGATGGAGCAGCCAGCAACACAGATATGGCTGAGTTCAAAATATGATTCCAGGATGTACTGAAAAATATGAGGTTCATGGTCCAGAATCACTGACAAAGCTCTTTCTTAGCTAACAATTCAGAGTCATTTCCAGAGGTAACGGTTCCTAACATAAGCACTTCTACTGCACTTATTGCAGCTGACATTTCCAAGGGCTAAGGATTCAGCTTTCCATGCAAACAGAAGGAAAATTGGCATCAATGTTCAAATGGAAAAGACAAAATGGAAAAGAAAGAAAGTGCAGATATACATATTAACACAGAAAGGTATCAAATATTACATATATGTGAATATAGCGTCTAAAACACCCTCATTCACTGTATGGTTAGGCCTGAATTCACCAGGCAAGAGCACAACCATTTGAAGAACATCTAAAAAAGTAAGTGAGAATTGTAATGTTAAAATAGAACATACACAATAATCATTCCTATTATAATCAGAGGAAAAAGCGTGCATTAAAGCTACTCAAGTGTTGGTATAGTCCAAAGGCTAAGCTGTATTATGCCGTAATCTTTGGAGAAATTGCTGAGAAACCAAACTTGCAGGACTTATCTTGTTTCTGCTAATGCTGCTTCAGCCAGAGGGCGACACATCCTTGGGATTACTAAATAATAATATGAAATACCATCCCATCACCTTTCATGAAATGTGGTAATAATAAAAAAGGTATCGGTATTTTAAAATGCACACGCCAGTGGTTGGCATTACATATGGCAAATATGTGTTTAAGCTTTAGGAGACGGATCCACACACACAAGCTCTTTTCCAGACATTAAAGTCTGAGTTAACATTTCCATGGGAGACTCAGCCACATCATCCCTTTCTGCATGCCAGCACAAGGCATGTGGACTGGTCTAAGTCCAGACCTACTTCTCACTTCCTTTTCTGCCACCTCTTTAAGACAATATGCTTTCCACATGCGAGCAGTTGTGCAGACAGCCCTTCAGTTTGCCAAGCAAATAAAGGCAGTTCCATTGCAGGCTGTGACTAAAACACCAAATGTGATCATACAAACCAATGGAGCCATTCAAAACAACAAACACTACATTGCGTTGTCACTGCTTAGTTTCAGATACAGGAAGAACTACAAGGGAATACATATCTATCTGTTTGGGATTTGGTATCACTGAGATCCACTTGAGTATTTTTTAACTAGGTTCCTGCTCCAAACTCCTTTTGTACAGTCTTGCTTTATATAATATCTACTGACAGACAATCCCACTTACCTAGAAAGACTGCATATCTAACAACTCTACTGGATAAATGGCAGTGACAGTGAACCCAGGGGTGGCAAAACCGGAGCATTCCATTTCCTTATGAGGTCCCAGTGAGCGAGAATCACTGTCACAAATGCTCTCATGTCAAAATATAATTGAGGTATTGCAACAGTGGAGAGGACTCACGTGTTTCCGATGGATGAGTTCTGGATTCTCGAGCAAAACTCTGCTGTCCTGCCTGCTCTGCACAGGATTTCTGACCCAATAAATAACCGTCTAATTAAACATCGACTCAGCTCATTTTTTAACATCTTCACAGGACTTGGGTCGCACAGTCCTCCTCTGGAAGTGGGACAAACTATCTGGGGCCCTTAAGATATGAGATGAAAGTAGAGTAGTAGGCTGTAAAGTTCAATGGGTGAATCAAAGGATAGAGCATTCCATTATTAAAAGACTGGATCATTTTAGTATGCATTACTGCACATAACGAGTCAGTTGAGGGAATGCAGAGCTACAAATAGCTCAGCCAATTGTTGTTCCCTTAGCTGAAGAGCTGAGGAGAGCAGTTTACAACTGACAGCCCTGAACGCTTTCTGACAATAGGGATGGATCAA